CCGTTGTGGACCCTCGGGACAGAGGTGAAGGGACAGCAGCCGTGGGTGAGAACATGGCTTCATCCAAAGTGTGGAGCCCAGGGGCCTCCCCCGGGTCACGCAGAGGTTTGAGCACCGCGCTGTGAAGTTGTCCGCAGCCTCTGCAGCCGGGGTTTGATCCTGGCTGGCTGGCGAGGGTCTCACATGGCACAGCAGACCTCTCCTGACTCGCCCGCTGCTCCCCTCAGCAGTGTATTTCAGTCAGTCCGCCTGTTCTGCTCCCCACTCTGTCTCTGGTGAGTCCTCTGGCACCTTCCTCTGGCCTGTGCCCCAGCTCTTGTATAAATAAATAAATCTTTTAAAAAAAAAAAAGTGTGGAGCTGAGCACAGGACACCACACGGGAGGGGAAGACGCTGATTCCCCCATGTTTACCTCAGGGCAGGCTGCAGGCAGTGTTTGCCTGCAGGGAGGACAGTGGAGCACGCCAGGGAGGGCTGGGTGTGGGTTCTGGCGTCTTCTGCTCCTCGGCCCTGGGCTGTTTGTGCCGGGGCTCACTGGGCTGCTCTTAGGCGGTGAGTTCTTGCGCCCAGCCCGGTGCTGCGCCTCTGCAGTTGTCACGCCTGAGTAAGGTTTATTTCTTTTTTTTTTTTTTTAAATAGAGGCATGTTTTATTTATTTATTTATTTGTTTGTTTGTTTGTTTTGTTTATACAAGCACTGGGTACAGTCAGAAGCGCGGGAGGGTGAGAGAATTCCCCAGAGCCAGAGCGGGGAGCAGAGCAGGCAGACTGATGAAGTACACTGCTGAGGGGAGCAGCGGGCAGCAGGAGAGGTCTGCGCGCCATGCGGGACCCTCCTCTGGTGGCCGGGGAGCAGCCGGGGATCGAACCGGCGCTGCAGAGGCTGCGGGCAGCTTCGCAACCCAGCGCTCAACCGCTGCGCCACCGGGGAGGCCCAAGTAAGGTTTATTTCAAAACCAGAACGAACATTGGGTCTCTGGGTCGTGCCTCAGGACGTCTGAAGTCAACCCCCTGGAGTGCTCTCCTTGAACAGATCTGACAGGATGCAGGGGACGTCTTTCAAGGGGAATCGGTGTCGATGAAGATCCTGGCCGCACAGGCCAAGAGGGAAACCCCACGTCTACCGCGCACCACTGGAGAGTTCCCGGGGTTCACAGAGTGAAGGCTTTTCCCTCCTCCCTCAACCCCCACCGGTGCCCACCGGGAGGGCGGTCCAGTGCTGGGCTGGTGTTCTCGGGCTGAGGGTGCCGGACACAGCGGGGGAGCCAGGTCTTGGACCCTGCAGGTCCAAGCGCCTGGCCTCGGGCACTAGGTGGGCTTTCGGGGCACGGAGGCCTCAGCCCAGATCCCGTGGGGGGCCTTGGGCCCCGGAGGGAGAGTTGCTGGTGGGTCCAGAGCCTCGTGCGGGTGTTGGCCTCCCAGCGGGGTCGTCTGATAAGCTCCTTTCTGGTGAAGATGGTGGAATGTGACACCGACAGTCAGACCCACGGCTCAGTGACCCCGACGTTGGCCCCTCGGGCCCATGTGTCAGGAGGGGTGCGGACGCCGGAATGGACATTTTTCATGCCTGGGACTGGACATGAACTAACACACTTAAAACCAACCATTTTATTCGTGAACAGCACATCCTTGCCGGTGAGAGTCCACATTTCGAATACTCTTCTCCATAAAAATTTAAAAGCCCAATTAAAAAGCAGCAAGGGATGAGAACACGTCTCCCCAAGGAAGGCTCAAATTGCCAGCGGGCACCGAGAGGGGCTGGACATCACCCCTCACCGGGGACTCGTGGGTGAGGACGCGGGACAGCCGGGGCTTGTTGGCTTCGCGAGCCGCGGTCGCTTCTCAGGGAGTTGCTACAAGGCACCGACTGGCTCCCTAAGGTGGGGTTTGGCAGGAGCCCCTGACTTAGGCTGGCACCTGCATGGGTGGGGAGCCGTGCAGTGACCCAGAGGAGCCTGGCCTCGCCGTTCTCCCTCTCCCCCTCCCCAACGGCTGGGCATAGCGGGAGAAAGCGTGCCAGGGCCTCAGGGACCACCACCTGCTTCCCAAGAAGCCCCTTTCGCTCTGCAGCGGCAGACCCTACAGCCAGACTCTAAACCCTGTGGGTGGAGCCCCGCGACCGCCGGGGCTGCCCTCTCAGTCCTCACAGCCTCCCTGGTCTGTGAGGCCCCGGGCGCCTGGACCGGCACCTGCCAGTACCGGCCGCATCACAGGAAGGCGGCCCCGGAGCATCATCGGGTGTGGGGCCTGGGCCCAGGGCCCCACCCCATCCTCTGCCAGCGCAGGGGCCGCGCCTCTTCCAGGCCGGGGACTCAGGGAGCCCCCCCCCACCCCGTGCCGCCGCCAGGACGGCCAGCAGGGGGCGCCATTCACCAGCAGTCGGACAAGGCTGGGAGCAGGAGGCACCTTTGGGAGATGCCCTCTTTGCAGAGTCCCCAGCGCTCTGCACCAGGGCAGTGTACGGGCGGGCGAGCCGGTGACTCAGATTTCCCAGGGTGTTGCTGCAGGAGCCCCGCGTCCACCGCAGGCACCCTGCTGTTTGCTGAAGCCACCTTGCTGGACTCTGCTGAGGGTCTGGGCATCCCCACTGCCCGGGGTGCCGAGGCAGGAAGGGTCGGCACAACACGATGACCCCAAACACACCACCCCAGTGAGAGGCTGCCAGGCGACCCCACTCCATGAAGCGCCCAGAGCCAGTTGGTCCGCGGTGGCAGGAGGACGGCCAGGCGGGCCCAGCGGGTGCCCAGCGGGTGCGGGGCATACTGGGCGTGCTCCCTGCTGCAAGCGTGTGTTTCTGAAACAGCCTGAGCCAGAGAGAGGCGGCGCTCCCAGGACCCTGACAGCAGATGCCACTGACAGGGCTAAAGTGGTCGGCAAAGCGTCGCACGCTCGTTACTTCCGTAAAAACCTCGGTGGCCCATAAACTTTCCTGACAGGGGGTCGATTTTCAGAAACCAGGCGTGGCCCGGGTGTGAGCCTCTGAGAAGGCTCGCGAGGGGGGTCCCTGAGCCTGAGCCTGCGGGTGACCAGCAGGCAGCCAAGGGCCCTCAGACTGGAGAGCCGAGCTGACCCGTGCCCAGCAGCCCCCCGATTTCTAGTGTGGGTCCCCGCACTTCAGCCCGGTGGTTGGTGGGGTGACAAAGTGGGATCTGAACACATCAGGCTGTCGTCATTCCAGGTCATACCCAACGGGCCCTTGCTGGTGGGGGGGCCCCAGGGGCCCGGTCGGAGGGAAGACCTGGGTCGTGGTGAGGAGGGAGGGGGTGGATGTGCCCTGGGTGTGGTTACTGCGGTCGGTGGCCCCTGGGCCTACACTTGGTGAGGAGAGAGGCCCTGGCTGTGTGAGGACAGAGCTGCTAGAAGGGTCAGGACCTGGTGAGCGTGACCACTAGGACGTGTGGGATTGGCGACCTCAGGCCAGCGAGAAAGCCAGCAGGTGGGCTGCCAGTGCGGGGGGGGGGGGGGGAGGCAGGGGCCTGATGAGGTAGACCTGGGCTGCGCCTCGCAGGGCCTGCCCAGCCTCCTGGGGCTGCCCCATTCTTGGGTGCTCTCCCCACCGCCCCCCTCCTCGCCTCCACCTGGGGCTGAGCCTGCCTAGTGTGCTGGTGCCCCAGCACAGCCCCAACCCCCCCCCCCACTATTCTCTGTGGGGGCGTAGCTCTTCAGTTGGCAGCATCTGGGGCCCAGACTCCTGCACCCCCTACTGGCAGCTGTTGATAAAGAAACACGTGGACCAGTTGCTTCTCCTATTGAACAGAAACACCTTTCCGGGGACTACACGTTGATCTTCTGTCTCCTGGACCTCAGCGTCACTTCCTTTAGAATTTTGTGGGCTCCCGTGCACAGCCACGGAGAACACACAACAGGCCCCTCAACTCCCAGGCGAGGTGGCTTTTCTGGCTGCAGGTCCATGTGCAGCGTCCAGTGGCTAGTTTAAGCCACGGGCAGGGGGTGTCGGGAAGGGTGACAAGCAAGAGGCACTGACCTAAGGAGGTCAGTGCTTGAGGGGCTTGAGGGGGTCAGCAGAGGGGGTCCTCCCTCCTCCCTGAGGCCCGAGCTGGCTGTCCACCAGGTGAGGTGGCACGGGCACCGGTGTACATACGGACAAGCTGCTGGCGAGGGGGCGCCGAGCAGCTGATGGGCTGCCCCCAGATTCTCCCGAGAGCTGCTGTGGGGCGCTGTGGGGGGCTGTGGGCCAGAGAGGGCTGGGCGTGGACGTGACGGGACAGATGGGACGCCCTTCCTCCAAGCACAACCCCCCTGAGCAGGGCTGGCTGGAGAGAGGGGACCCCACTTTTACCTGCGCGGTGAAAGAGTAAAACAAGAGGTGAAGCGTAAGATAAATTTCTAAGGCCGAAGAGGCTTTGGTCTCCGCTGCGTCTACTTCCAGCTTCGGTTATGAGATTTGCGTTTGACAGCACGTGGGTTTAAAAACGGTCTAGTGTTTTCTGCCCAAAACAGGCCCCCGGGCCTCCCTGGTGAGGCGGCCTCCTCCTTGCCGTGGGCCTCGAGGCGGCGCCGGCCCTGCGCGGGGCAGGGCTTCCGGGGGCTCTTCCCGCTGCCCCTGGGCTTCTGCTCCGTGCCCGTGCCCTGGCCCCGCGCCTCCTCCGTGCACCCCACAAGCCGGTTTCACACACGTTTGGCTGCTCAAAGGCTGGCTATGTTTTATTAAATCATTGAAAACTCATGTGCAGACAAATTTTTCCACTCTGGGGAAACCAGAGACTGAAACACTGGGGAGCCGGCGGCCTAGAGATGCCGCTCCCAGCGCTTCTGCAGAGCGTTGAAATCATCAGGAACGGTCGCGGCTCTCGCCATGGCATGGCCGGGGGGGGGGGCGACTTCCCTCCCTCCCTGCTCTCTGGGAAGGAGCCTGCTGTCGCTCAACCCACGCGGGCGGCCGGAGGGCGGCAGGGGCTGGGGGTGGGGGGGGGTGCTGGTCCCAGCACTGGCTGCGAAAGCCCAGGGACCCGAGACTTCCAGGCGGCGCCCATCGTCCAGGCCGGCCGGCGTCCTGCCCGCCGCAGCTAGCGTGGGGCGCCCGGGCTGTCTCGCGGAAGGTGGTAAGTAGAGACGCTCGGCGCTCAGGCCCCAGCTTCCCCTTGGCGCGGAAGCCGAGAGCATCAGGCCGCGGCTTCCTAGCGGTGCCAGCTGGGGACCCGGGACCCTGAGACCCAGGCCCGACAGAAGCGCCCCTGTGAGCACCAGCCGCACCGTGAACGTGGTCCTTTCTAGAGCTGGGGTCACGGGGTGGCGGGGCAGACGCGGGCGCGCCCAGGAGCACCCAAACAAACACAAATTAAATATTATCAAATGTTAAATTAAATTGAAGAACCTACTTTCAAGAGCAAGGGATCACTGCTTCCTGAACTCGTGTCACAGGCCAAGGCTCAGTCTCTGGGGACACCCAAGTTCCTGTGAGTTAAGAGGCACCCTGCTCCCCCTCGGGACTCCCTGAAGGAAGCAATGAGGCCCCAGTGGGGACCCAGAAATGCCCTTCACCGCTCCAAGCGCAGGCAGAGCCCCAAAGACATCTTCGGCCTGGGATGCGGCTGGGGAAGCAGGGCTGAGAACGGCAGACGTCGGCTCCAGCCGCGACGGCCGCTTGACCTTTCGCTCTGCAGGCCCATGGCCAGACCCGTGGGTGCGGCCTGACGGGGTGTGCAGGCCCCAGCTCTCCCAGGGAATGTGTAAACAAACCTGGGGAACAGCCTTCCTGCCAGTTTTCCTTTTGTCAGTGAGAAACCTCTTGGGCACAGAGAAGTAACAGGCGGGGCTGCTCGTCCGCCTCCCACCGGCTTCACCCTGCTGTGGACCAGGGGTCAGCCCCGCATTGCGCCCCGGCCCCAGTCTGGAGCAGAGTCAGAAGCCTTTTTTTTGGACGACCGTATTCCCGAGGCCTGGCGGCGGCCGCCACACCTGGGCCTCCGGTCGTCACTGGGGGGGACTCGGTGAGGAGGCCAGGCTTCTGTGCAGGTTGGGGTTCTGGCTGTGTCTGTTGCGACTGCGCACCGACGAGAACGCGGTTTCGCAGCCCGGGACTCGGCACTTGTGCAGCTGGCGCAGGTGCGCGGTCTTGTGGTGCGCCCGCAGGGCCCCCTGGCTGCTGTAGCTCCTCCGGCAGAGCTGGCAGGTGGTGGGTGGCCCGGCCGGCAGGCTGGTGAGGTTCGGGTCGGCCTTGGCCATCAGGACACAGAGGGGGTGCTCGTCCTCCCCGGGGGCCGGGCTGGGCCCTCCGCAGGGCCCGTCGCTGTCCTCCAGGAGCACCCTGCCTTCCTCGCTCGCCCCGTCGGAGTCCCAGGACGAGCGGCTGCTGCCCTCTGACTTCACGCTGGAAGCGGCGCTCAGGTCCAGGACAGCGCTCTCGCTGGCCGGCCGGGATGCGTAGCCCTCCAGGTCCGCACTGCGGACCGGGGCCAGGGGGCAGCCCAGGCCGCCCATCCGGCTGGCTCCCTGGAAGATGACCGAAGTCTGGGGGGCTGGCTGCGCGAGAGCCGCGCCCGGGTAGGCTGCCGTGGCCGCGTCCTTCTGCAGGTAGGCGGCCGGGAAGTGGCCTCTGCTGCTCTCCAGCGCCTCCTGGCTCAGCACGTTCGGGTGGAGGTTGAGGTTGGAGATGTGTCTACGGGAGTGAGGAGACGGTTAGCAACGTGGGCTGCGGCAACGTCCTCCCACTGCGCGAAGACGCGGGCTAGAGGCCGGGAGGGACACCAGGCGCCTGACTCCAGCTTCCCACCAGACCCGCCCGCCCCCGGGGAGGAGCCACCACAGGGAGCGCAGGCAGGGCTGGGGTACCGAGCTCCCCTCAGTCCTGCGGCCAAGGCCAACGACAGGTACCAGGTGCGGCTGGAATCCGGCCAGGGGGGTGGCGAGCCTGCTTGAGGGTCCCCAGAAGGGCCCCGGGAGAGAGGCTCAAGCTACAAGGAACTAGGTGCCAGGACAGGTGCCTCCCGGCTGCACAGAGGCCCCTGGCCCCGCGGCCCGGCTGGCGTCACACAGCGCGGTGATCGTGATTGTGGGCGGCAGAGAGGAGAGAGATCGGCCTTGACGGCTCACGTTTGTCTTTCTAATGTGCCCGCTGAAGACCTCAGCTCCCGGGCGCGCCCCACGCCGGAGCGTCTGCAAACACGGCCTGGCTCTGGGCGCGGGCGCCTGCTGAGCTCAGCCCCCACCTGCAGCGTTGCCGTCTGTCCCAGACAGGGTTTGCCAACGCAGCGACCGAGCCCGCCGTGCCCGCCCAGACACCTCCCCGCGGCGGGCGAAGGTGCCCATTATGCCGCCGCCTGCGCCTCACATGTGTCATTTGGATCTAATTTGTCAGTTCAGAGTCGGCCTTGCTCAGGCCCACGCTCACGCCTCCCTAGGGAAACAGCCCTTTCCCCGGGGCCACCTTCCAGGCGCCCGGAGGCTGCAAACAGGGAAACCACCCCCCAGCAGGCAGGACACGTGCCAGGGCCAGCGCGGGAAAAACGCCCTCACCAGGTAACGGAGAACCAACTGGATTTCCTCTTCTGAATCCACAAGACAAACGGGCCTGGTGGAATGATGGTCCCTATCATGTAGAGAATTTGCTAAAATTTTACACAAAGTGTCTCCACGGCCCCCGCACATCTGTCCTGCCCCTGCAAGCTGCTCCCGCTTGCCCCGCTCTGGTGCTGGTGTAAGGGGGGGCCCGGGAAAAGGGGAGGCTCCAGGTTTCCCTCCCAAAGAGGAGGGTGGTGTGATAAATATTAAATCTTGCAGGGTTAATTGCTAATACAGCAAATATTGACAGAGATAAAAATCCAAGTGCACAAAAGCTCTTGAGGGTCCCAAGGTTTTAAGACTTTGTAAGGGGATTGGGAGACTGAAATGTTCGGGAAGTGCCACTTTGGACAGACCCCTTCTTCCAGGAAGCCCTCCCAAACCACTTGAAGAGTCTGGTTCGATGCCCTCTGTGCGCCCACAGAGGCGGCATGTCACCCACGGGAGCAGCCACCACCGTCAGCTGCGATTCGCTGCTTGAGGGCCTGCTCCGCGCCGGCTCTGTGGCAGGTGGCGTGGCGGTGCGCTCCCCGCCAAGTAACAGCTATCCTCACAGCAACACGGAGCTCAGCTCCGACTCCAGAAGCAGTGGGAGACCCAGACCACCGCAGCACAACTTAGGTCAGATTCTACATAGGCGAGTCCGAGACTGCACGGCTGGTGCGTTCCATCAGCGCGCGCCACGCGTTCCGTGTGCGCACGGGGCGGTGCTGGCAGAGGAGGCGTGCAGCCACAAACAGGCCAGGAAGGGAAATATTAAAAACATAAAAAATAAATACGAAATGAAGAAGTATCCTGGACTGGACCTGCTGGCCGGAGAGCACCGTAAGCACCGAGGCTCCTCCGCCGGCGAGCTGGTTCCTGGCCCTGATGTCACCGGCGTCATGAACAGACCCTCCCCTTGCAGGACAATGGAGAAGGCTGGCTTGCTAGTTGGGGTGTCCTGTGTGGGGCTTACCACCCCACCACAGAGGGGGGAATTTTAGCTAATAGCCGCTGTGCGTGGCTCTCGGCGCGCACCCCACCCAGGCGGGTGTGAAGGCTGGGCATTTCGCCCTGTGACAGATCGGGCCCACGACCTGCGGCAGGGTGGTGTGGGCACTGCTTCCAGTCATGTGCGTTTGAGCCGCTGGAGCGCTTTGACGCTGTTGGCCACTCGTCATATCACGTTCGCTGGCGAGCCGGGCCCTTCCTCACACCCGCCATGCACCAGCTCATCTCTTCCTAGCTGGGGATGAAGCCGACCTCACGTGTGGAGATGCCACTCGAGCCACGGAGACACGCACTAGCGCCATGGCAAGGCCCAGCCGCACCCCGGCATGCGGAGGACGTAGCCCCCGACCCTCCTCTGCAGCAGCTCGAGTGTGTGCGCCCGTGTGAGCATGTGTGTGCGTGTGCGTAGCCCACACCACAGCTTTCCACCAACATCACAAGCCCCACCCGCTAATTGCCTTCGTTCTTTGCTGTCTTCGTATTTTAAAGCTCTTCAGTCAAGCAGCGAGTATTCTTCCGAACAGAGCGGGTCAGCTAGAGACCAGAGGCGCCATCTCACTCGATGGACAGAACGAAAGCCGGGCGGGGAGGTGCCGGGGACCCCTGCCAAGCCCCCCCCACCCCCCCCCACTCTTCTGATGCCAGCTCCTGCTCCTCAGCCCACCCGGCACAGACACATGACTGAGTCAGACTGTCCCGACTGCGGACAGGCAGGAGGCGGCACGTGCTGCGCTGACACGACCCCATCGTCACTCCAGTAACATCTCGGGGCTGAAGAGATGCATCAACCCCACGCAGAGGGAGAGGGACAGACTGGCCAGTGGCCTCCCGCCCTTTGAAGGTCAGGCCTGGAGGCTGAGCGGACTCAGGCTCCCGGGGCTTCAGGCTCCCAGGGCCTCAGCAGCGTGCTCGGGCCTGCTGCAGGCCCGCCGAGCGGGAGTGCCGAGTGCAGGCCGGGTTTGCCGTCCTCCAGGTGACCGACGCTAGCGGTCAGAGACACGACGGCCGCTGGGGGGTCTTACCTGTCTCTGCTCCTGCGGGACGGGAAGGTGGCCCTGCAGCCCTGCACCGTGCACGCGTGGGTCTCCCTGGCATGCATGTTCTTGTGGTGCATTTTCACCCCGCACGCGTTTTTAAAGGTCTTCTTGCAGACGTTGCACTGGAAGCGGGGTTCCCCCTCCTTGCTGGAGAACATCCGCTGGCCACCCGGCTCCAATTCTCTAGGGTCTTCGAGGCCGGGAAAGGCCAGCCCTCTGGGGGAAAGGGCACCGAAGAGCCCGCCGGCCAGCATGTGCCCCTGCAGCGAGATGCAGGGCTCCACCCCGGGGGGCAGCGGCCGCTCCCGGACACCATCCTCCTCCTCCCTGGGGGCCTTTGTCGGGCCTGGCGCCTGCTCACCGCCCCTCTCTGAGTGGCAGGTGGCTGGCTCGGGGCTGCGGCCGAGGCCGCCCCTGGACTCTGGCCCGGATCCACCGTGGTGAGGCCTCTCTGCCTCGGGGAGGGCCAGCCCCGACCGCAGGCTCCCCGGGGGCGTGCTGGTGGCCCCAGGACTGCAGGCCTCCGGCTCCTCCCCGCTGGCGCCCTGCAGGGGCGGCTCCTCGTCCGAACTGAGCCTCTTCTCCCGCACGAGCTCCGCGGCCTCCTTCTCGATTTTGATGGGCATGCTGGACTTCCGGGACTTCTTCTTGGGCAAGGCGTGGAAGGGCATGGCGGTGGAGGCCAGCTGCTCCGGGATGGCCGAGGACAGCAGGGGCAGGGACGGCAGCACTCCGGGCGTGTGGGCCAGCTCCGCCGGGGTGGCCGGGCTGCGGTAGAAAGGCAGGACGGGCTGCACCGTCCTCAGGTTGGGGAAGAGCACCCCGTGGTGGCCGAGGCTGGGGCAGGCGGGCGGGGTCCCCGGGAAGGCGGGGCGTGGGGCGCGGGCGGCCAGGCCCAGGCTGTGCCGCAGGTCCTTGTCCCGGCTGTTGCGGTTGGCGGGCGCGTGCAGCCGCGGGTTGGGGTTGGCGCTGTGGCGGTTGCGGCTGCGCAGCGAGCTGAAGACCATGTTGCAGCCCTGGACGGTGCACTTGTGCTTGATCTTCAGGTGCACGGCGTTGTAGTGGATCTTGAGCGTGCCTTTGTCGTAGAAGGTCTTCTTGCAGGCCGCGCAGAACACTCGGCCCTTCTTGGTGCCCAGGCCGCTCCGCTCCGACTTCACTTTGGCCTCGGGGGACAGCTGTGTCCCCTCCATCTGGGTGACAGTGGGGTAGGGGCTGGCGCCGCCTTCCTTCTTAACAGTCTCGGGATAGGCCAGACACGGCTCTTTCTCAGCCGGCCCCGGCGGGGACTTGGGAATGGCGGAGCCGTCCTCTGGCTGGGGCTGGGGGGCCGGGGCCTGCTCCAGCAGGTAGGCTTCAGGCAGCGCCCCTATCAGTGCGGGGGGCACCGGGTTCAGGAGCTGGAAAGGCAGCAGGAAAGTCATGTTGTTGACGAGGTTCTCGAAGGGGTGTGTACTGCTGGGGCTCCCCCGGCCCCCGGGGCCGGGAAGGCCGGTGCCCCGCTGGCCGCAGCTCTCGATGAAGGCCCGGATGTCAATGCTGGCGGTGGCGGGGGGCAGCAGGAGGGGCTGCTCCTCTTTCTCCTGGGTGGCCATGAGCTCCACGATGGACTTGGTCTCTCCGAAGCGCAGGAACTGCTGCAGGGCAGCCACCTCCTCCTCGCCGGTCATGATGCTCCAGTGATCCAGCACCTTCCCCGACGCGTCCTGCACCCGAAGGCAAGAGCCAGTCAGTCCCGGCTCCTTCCTGCCCTCCTAGGAAGCCTCCTGGCGCCTGAGCACCAGGCCCCTCCGCACATGCGCAGAAACGACCTCCCCTCTGGCCGAGAGAGCACAGGGTCCGACCCTCACCCGCGCTCCCAGCCCAAAAAGTCTGCGCAGAAAGTTAACCACACAGACGCAAGTAGCGCCCAAAGGAGAGAAACAGACCGATCTGATCAGGCCTCAGGGAAACCCCGTGATGATTTTTCCGTCTGATTTCAAAGCCATAGGTTGTGCTGCATCAGGCGTGGTAACTTTTCCCACTAAAATTAAAATATGTATCATGTGAACCAAGGTAACTTCCTTATCTCAAGAGCACGGGGGGTGCACTCAGCCCTCGCTGTAGCTCGAGCATTCGCTGTGGGGTCAATAATCTTCCCAAGCAATGAACATCAGAAAACAAATGAGCGGTATTGATCGGCTGCAGGACGGGAGAGCGGAGCTGTAATTACAGGGCGGGCTGCAGCTCTTCCAGACTCTAGCCAGGCCTAACTTTCCCCAAAACTACAATAAATATTTTATCACAGAACGTGTATTTGATGGCCTACTGAGATTTTTCGCAGCGCATGTAAGAGTTTTGAAGATGATGAGGAATGTAACATCATAAATTTTTCATGCACTAGAGGTTCAAGGTAATTGATTCCATATTTTTAATACTAACGCTAGAAAGCAAGATGATTAGGATCATTAAATATTGATCTCTGTCATAATGTAAGATCGTAATGCTACTCTACATAAAAGGTTGCTTCCAGGCTCTGGGGTCCCACACTCGGGCCAGCAAACGTGTTTCCAGGGAGGGGATGGGCTGGGAGGCCAGAAAGCGCCATCTCCAGTCCAGAGGGTACCCCCCTCCAGCGACCTCCGTGCTGGGCAGCACGCCCAGCCCTGGCTGCTCAGCTGGAGGATGGGGACAGGCCCATCCGCCTGGCCCGGTTCCGGAAGCCGCGCGAGGGCTGCCGCAGCCCACTCAGCGCAATGGCCGACGAGCAGCAGGCCAAGGTGGACGTGAGTCTTGGAAACACTCATGCCCGGTTCATTGACAGTTTCACCCAAGCGAGCTGACATTCTCTAGTGTGTTGGCAAGAGAAAGTGCTGGAGTTGTTTCCCCCACCAGGAGAGTGATGTAATTCCTACTGGGAGCCTGCTCTTTGCTTGAGATGGGGGGTCAGGATGGGAACCACGAAGCCCGCCCATGGGAGGGCAGGGGGGCAGGTAGGGCGCTCTGCTCAGGGGAGAGGAAAGGAGAGAGAGAGAAAGAGGAGCCTTGAGCCCAGGGCGCAGGACCACGCAAGCACAGGACAGACTCGGCACAAAGCAGGGGGCACGAGTTGGGGTGGGAGCGGAGGTGGTGGGGGGGGGCGCACAGAGAGGGGCGGGTGCAAAGCTGTAGCTGCTCCCCACACCCTGTGACATGAGTTCCCCTCCAGCACCCGCTGCGGGTTCTGGAGTTTCCTGATACCTCAAGGAAAGCACTGGAATTCCCTCAGAATGTAAGGAGGGGGTTAAGGCCCTAGAAGACTAGCAACGGGCTTCCCTGCAGCCCAAGGGCCTCCTGCCCATCCGTGAGCCCACCTGCAGCACGTATCCCCGGACGTAATCCTGCAGCGTCCAGTCCAGCGCGTGCAGGATGCGCAGCACCTCGGCCGGCGGCAGCACGCTGAAGAGCCGGTCCAGCAGGATCTTGAGACGGACGGGGATGGCCTGGGTCCCGTAGAGCATGAGGCTGCTGATGTCAAACACCACATTGGCCTGGACGATTTCCACCTGGCTTGTGGGGTACACAGGGGGGATCCTCAGCTTGCTTAGAGCTGCAAGGTCAAATGGAGAAACGCTGGTTTTAAAGCTTCCACGGTTCGGGGCTGTGGGCACCGGCAAGACTCTCCGCTACCTGCTCCAGGAAACTCACACACAGCGGGCATGGCAACATGGGTGGCCCAAGGCATCTCCCTGTTCTGTGGCATCCTTACGTGTGGAATGTCTCCCATGCCAGGAAAGGGGAGCAGACAGGGCCCCAGAGGGTGTGGTTAAGAGGATGGAGGGTCTGGAGGCAGCGTCTGGGTGGAGCTGGGCCTTGGCCCTGAAGGCCTGGGTTGAGCCTTGTCTGCCCCTTTCCAGGCGTTGGGTGTGGCAGACGCAGCCACCTCCTGATTGAAATTTAGCTTGAAGTGAGCTAGCATGAAAGGAAATGAGGGATTCCCTTCTGGTGACACCAGTCACACTTCAAGCGGCTGTGCGGGCGTAGGGCTGGCAGGCTTAGCAGAAAGCCAAAGCAAAACACCAGGATGCCCAGGCAGGCGGAACGTGAACTTCAGCGAACAAGAAGAGGGAAGTCGTGCTTACACCACAGTCACCGGGATACACTTAGGCCACTGCGTTCTTTACTGTTTATCCCAAATTAAAATGCAGCGTGGAGCCCCTACTTTATCTGGCGCCCCGGTGCTGGGGAGACAGGAGTGCTCGCTCTCTGGCTGCAGAGCACGCTCGAGCCTCAGCTGCTACGGGGGGGACACTCCTTCTGCAGGTGGGGAGACTCCCCAGTATGAAGTGTCAGGCCTACCCCCTGGCACACAGAGGCCTCAGAAATGCTACCTGTGATCCCTTCCTGGGGCCCCATCATGTGTGGGGCGCCCTGCTGGGAAGCAGTTACAGCGGGCCATCCAGCCACACCCCATTGGGAAGCAGTCACCGTGGGCCCCCCAGCCACACCCCGCTGGGAGCAGTTACCGTGGGCCACCCAGCCGTGCCGGCACTGCTCGCACTGGCGGTGGTTCATCTTCCCGGGCCGGAAGCGCTGGCAGGCGCAGTCGAGGGTACAGCCGACACCCTGCAACGAGAACACAGCTGCTGAGGGCAGTGGAGGGCGGGGGGCCCAGCGCAGGGCCCAGCCTTCAGCCCGCGCCCCGCCGGCCGCCCAGGGGTGTGGACGGAGACATGCTGGCGGACGAGCGCTTCGCAGACACGCGCACACGGGAGACCGGGCCGAAGACACAGGGCCTTCTCCAAGCAAAGACAATGGTAGAAAGAAATTCCTGCTGGTTACTAAGTACAGGGGGAGAGCGGGCGGTCACACAGTCCACCTCATGGCCAGGCCGAGCGGAGCTGCCACCCTGAGGCCGGCGGAGGCTGGTGCGGGGCGAGGGAAGGGAGGCTGCGAACCGCCAGTCACACTGGGACGGAAGGTGACTCCACGGGCTGGGGGACGGGGCCCAAGAGCAATGGAAACTTGCGCTCGAGTGTTCGTGGCAGCAGCATCTGTAACAGGCAAAAAGCAGGAGCTCCGAGTCAGCAGGGGGAAGCACGAGCACGGGCACAGGGAGCTCACGGGGCGGCAACAAGCAGGGAGGAGCCCTTGCGGGCGGCGGCTCGGAGGGGCCCTGGGGGCACGCAGGGGGGGGGCGAGAGGCTCAGGCCCAGGCGCCCCGTACATGGACTCAAGGGCAGGCCAGGATGCAGAGGCAGGAGGCGGGCTGCGGGCACCCTGGGCGGCGCGTGGTGCCAGGAGTGATGGCTGATGCCCGCCGGGTTGCTGGCATCTTTTAGAAAAGTAACTTTCCTCTGAGACACGACCCCACGGCACGGATTCCACCATTTAACTGGGACAACTGAATGTCTCGACACGGTCACAGGCGGTGCGACCGCCACGCCAGGCTGAGTGTAGCCTGTCTTCATCACCCCCGAAGGGGCCCCGTGTGGCAGTCTGGGGGCCGCGCGCTTCCCACGCTGCTCCTCCAGGCACGTCCGAGGAGGGGAATCCAGGTCGTGGGACACGCCGTGGGGAACTTCCAGAGAAACGGCCGAACTTCTCGGAAGTGGTGGCACCGATGGATGTCCCCGCCCTGGGGTTTGCGGCCCCAGACGCCCCACCCCTGCCCACACGCGTTCCTGTCTCTCACTACGGCCGCCCACGGGGTGGGAAGTGGTGTCCACTGCGGTCTTGGCTGGTATTTCCCCAGGGGCCGCTGGTCAGCTTCTGCCCTTGCGCCCGGAGGCCCCTGCGTGCCTTCTTGGAGACCCTCCTCGAGCCTTGGCCTGCTTCCCCTCAGCACTGAGTTGGGGGGCTTCTTGATACAGCCCCGGGGCAAGCCCCCCTCCAGGTAGAAGGCGCCCGCGCCTTTGCTCCCACCCAGGATCATCTCCCGTTCGTCACGGCGCCCGCTGAAGCACAGACGCTTTACATTTTGACCAGTTTCTTTTCCAGGTGGTGAGAATGCAGTAAGTTGGGCCGTTGCGTAACGACAACTGTGGCGAGACCCTCAGTCGTGTCTGCGTGAGTCTTTGTCCTCCGAGCAGAATGGTCAAGATCCAGAACGTGGCGGCACCAAGCGCCGGCAGGGGGTGCCGGCTGGATTCCAAGACTCCCTGCTGGTGGGAATGCAAAATGGCACCACTTGGGAAGAGAGTTTGGTGGTTTCTTGCGAAACGAAACATCCTCTCGCCATGGATGCAGCAATCGACGCCAAAGGCGCTGAAAACATGTCCACCCCACACCTGGCAGCGGCGCTGGAGCAGTAGCTTTATTCAGAGCTGCCGATGCTCCAGGGCCACCGAGCCATTCTTGGGTTGGTACGAGGGTGAACAAACTGCACATCCGGACGACAGAACAGCGTGCGGCGTTGAGGAGAAAGCAGCCATGGAGCCGGGAGAGGCGCGGGGGCCGCCAGCGCACGTGCTGAGACAGAAGCCAGCGTGAAAACCCTCCCCGCGGGGTGACTCCACCAATAGGACCTTCTGGAAAAGACAGCAGTATGGAGAGAGGAAACAGCCGCGGCTGCCAGGATCTGGTGTGGGGAGGGGCGACCAGCAGGGCCTCAGGGCGCGACCAACACTGCCCAACACCGCCCACCCTGGCCAGGGGCGCACAGCACCGCGTGGCTGGCTCTGGGCGTGGTGGAGACGGCGTGTGGGCCCAGCACTGTCATAAATGTCCCCTCTGGGGACAGGAGAGCCAGGAGAGCCTGGCCGGGCTGCGGGGACCATCTTGCAACCACGAGGCAGTGGACATCAGGCGGCAAGGACGGGGCAGGAAGGAACGGCTTAGCAGCAGCCTAAGCAGGCCCCAGCAAGCCACGGACAACGGCCCATCAGGAGCTGTCGTGGAGGTCAAGTTAGCGTCTGGGGTTCTCTCTTAAGAGGGGGGCCTCCCTGGTGGTGCGAGGGGTTAAGATGGAACTTATAAAGCTGACCGCAGCCTCTGCAGCACGAGTTCGATCCCTGGCCGGACAGGGAGAAACCCACGTGGTGCAGCAGACCTCTGTCTCCCCGCTGCTCCCCGCAGCAGTGGCTTTCAGTCAGTCCACCTGCTCTGCTCCCCGCTTTGTCTCAGGTGGATCCTCTCAACCCCCACACCTCTGGCCTGTACCCCAGCTCTCGTATGCATAACTAAATAAATCTTTTTAAAAAAAGAGAATCTCCGGTTGGTGCTGGTTTTCAGTGATAAGAATCACATGACTTCCCGACCTGAAAGAAAAGTGCCCGTCAGCTCAGTCACAGCACGACGCCGGGTCACGCCGCGCTTGCTCTAAGCTGCGTGCGTGGGACGAGAGCACTTCGGGCCTGCCCGAGTTGCACTGATGGTTCTGGACGTTGCGCCAGAGCTCGGCTGGGTCCTGGGAAGCTGCGGGCGGAGCAGAACCGGGCAGGACCTGCAGGCTGGGGGAGGGCAGCCTCGCTTGGGGGGGGGCACCGTCTCCCCCTCCCTGGCTGCAGAGTCAGCCTTTCTGGGTCAGAAAACAGGCCTCAGGCCAGGCGGTCTCTGCCCCGTTCTCTCAGGCACACACACTGTGCCTCTCCCCTCGGGGGACACGGCCGTTCTCCAGCCCGGCCCCTCCGCTGGCTTCTCACAACTGCTTTCACTTTCTGTCTTCAAGTCCCGCTGTCTTCCTCACACATGCAAACCCACAGAGGTTTGACGAGGTGCCGGTGACCAGAGGCAGAGGCCCCCGGAGGTCCTCTCGTGGGGGTGGGGCTGGGTTGCTGGCGTGATGGGACCGAAGCCCTGCGGGAGAGAGCCCCGCCGGCCAGCGCCCTCCTGGGAGCGCAGCAGAACGGCACCCCGTGACCCAACAGGCTGCTCTGTTGTGGGCCCGTTGGGTGAAACCCCTGCACCGTGTGCGGGTAACCATGGGGAGCGCCGGGGCTCCCAAGGGGAGAAGCTCCCAGGGTCTGACCTAGGGGTACGTGGCTTTTCTGGAGAAAAAAAGTCAGACACGCGAACGGGTCAAGGAGAGACCAGAATGGGATGTGTCAGAAGGACGGTGAGTCACTCACTGAACTAAGACGCAGCGACTCAAGGTAGCAAAGACCCAGGCGAACTCCTCGGCCGCCTCGAAGAACGCCGGGAGCCCCGGGGCTCTGGAAACTGGTCGCAAGGGAACGGCTTCACGTGTGCGCCCGTGCCCACAACCCTCTCGGGACGCCAGCAGGGTCGCCGGGGGGCGCACTGCCCGCAGGGCACTCCAGGAGGACACGGGGAGGCGCAGGGTCCCCACCTCCTCACTCCTCATCCCGGGGAGAAGGCGGCGGCCCGCGGGGCCCTGGTTGGGGGCTGCCCCACCCCGGGGTGTCCTGAGGGATCCCCTGAGCCCGGTCAAGTCCAGTTCACAGGACATGGAGTGGAAAAGCGCCTTCCAACCCCACGGCGGGGAGGCCGGGCCCGCTCTGCGCGGCGACGGCCCCGCGTCCTCAGCAGGCCGGCGGCGAGGAGCGCGCGGCACGGGCTACGAGAGCCGGCGCGGGGCCCCTGATTCGAAACGCTCAGTGAAACAACACGTTTATGGGATGATCAGGGCAATCTGAACAGCGACTGCAAATTTAAGTGGCGCTCAAGAGCCACTGCCGACCTCCTCGGCGCTACAGGGAACGCTGCCTGTGTCTGAGAGAGGCCTTCTCCGTGGGAGCTGCTTATTAAAATATTTATGAATGAAATTATATGGTGCCCGGGGTTTGCTTCAAAGGGATCCAGGCTGGTGGGGCAGGGGAGGGGCGGGGACACAGCGGAAACGGGACTGATGGAGGGGTACGCCGTGGGACCCCAGGCGCAGCGTCACCGAGCTCCACGGGACCATTCCAGTGTCCTCTGAGGTTCACCTTGATGAAAAGTGACAAGAACCCGACGGGTGTGGACCCTCCCTCCCCACCGCACTTCAGTTGTGACGGAGATGGCGGGCGGGCGGGGGAGCGTGGGCTGTGACCCGGGGCGGTGCAGGCGGGAGCACGGGTGTGTGGGGTCCTGGCACAAGGCAGGCTGGACCCACCCGGTGTCAAGCCCAGGAGGCATGGGGAGGGGGCCGGGGGCCGGGGGCAGGCTGCGCTAAGGGCAGCAGCGTGCTCTGTGGGCTCAGGGACCGGCCGGGGGTCTGAGCAGTGCGGGGATGCATTCCCCAGGCGCGCTTCGGAAGAGGGGTCTGGAGAGGCCTCTGAGGGGGGCGTGTGGGGGCAGCACCTGATGAACCGCGGAGACCTGCAGAGGGCCTGGGGCCGGCACCCAGGGGCAGGGCTCAGCGGCGGCGCAGGCGTGGGGGCTGGCACGGCAAGGGCGGTGGGGGCAGGGCCGGGACAGAAGTGGGGCCAAGTCCACCTGGGAGGAGAGGAGCGGCCCGCGAGCCCCGGCGGCGCGCTCCTCGCGCGCTTCAAAGAGGGTGATGGGGAAAATACTTGTTCTTTTGATCTTTACAAATCAAAGTATGAGCCCGGTGCCAAAATCATTTAACAGCTGTGCCTTTTTTTCTGAAAATGATTAGTTCTGAAAAAGGAAAAGAGAAAAAGTAGAAAAATATGCAAATATTACCTTAGAAACCAAAGCAAAGACTTAAAAAAAAAAAACCAACAACAACAAAAACTGTGCAGAAAGTAAATGACGTGGCTACATTTTTTCCCCTTTATAACCTGGGTTTGGGGGCCTCACAGGTCGTCTGCAGACACCTCGCAACCCGGGGGGTGGGGGGGGCGCTGCGCAGGCAGAGCTCTGATCACCCCGAGTCAGCCCGGGAGGAAAGAGCAAAACGCCGAAGGAAAAAGACACGTGTTTCGGGATAACTTTGACCGAGAGGCCCGTTTCTCAGGCAATGCGATGCCGCAGGCAGCCCCCGCCGAGCCAGCGAACACGGACACCGTGAACGTTTCCACGCAAACTCTTGCCTAGAAAACGCTTCTTTTAGAGATTTACTGAGAACGAGATTTTTCAAACTAAGTGTAAAAAATAAAAAAAGAAGCCCTCCAAGGGCTGAGGGAGAAAAGGGGACAGCGTCAGGCGCCCGGCTCCCTGCCCGAGACGCGCGGGGCGGGGTGGGAGAATCCGGCCTCGGGGGAGGGAGGCGGGCGGCGGGCAGGGGGCGAGGAGCAGGGCCGGGCCGCGCGGGTCCCGTGCAGCTGGGGAAGGATAAGGATTCCGCTGTTGGCGAGTGTGGACGCTTCACGCAGACACCCGCAGCGGCCGGGCGCTCAGATCACTCACTCCAAGGGGAAAGGGCGCCGAAGCTCGGGTTGACCTGAGGCATCGCTCAGGGAGCCACGCACGCGTGTGCACAACCTTTTGTCTCTTCAGCTCCCTCCTCCCTCATTCCAGTGTCCTCTGAGGTTCACCTTGATGAAAAGCCTCCCGGGGTGGCTGGGGGTTCACAGCCGCAGCCCAGGGGTGGCCGGGAACAGGAGCCGAACCCTCCACTGTGCCGGGTTCCAGAAGGCTCCCCAGCGTCCCTGGTGTCTGCTCCCTCTTTAGACATAGGCCTTTTGGGTAAAACAGGAGCGTGTGCGTGCGTCGTGCGTGCGTGCATGTGTGTGTGTGTGTGTGTGTAGAAAGAGGTGCCCCCCAGCAATCTTGGAATTTCCAGAATTAGGAAAAAGGGATTCAGAGAATGATGCCGTAAGAGGAAATGAGGTTTTCAGGTGCAAACCAATTTAAAAGAGGGGAAAAACCGTTCTCAGGTGTCCCATCCGCACAGAGCCAAATTCTTTGGAACATTTCTCAGAAAAGACGGCAAAAATGAAAGCCTGAGGTGAAGCTGAAAGTCTGTGGCAGAACACGCGGAGTCACACAGCGACCGACTCCCTAACCCTTGCTCTTAGAGACTCAAAAGAAGGCGGTGGCTCGGCAGCGAGAGGCCGGCCGCGGGGGCCTTTCTGGTCCTTGTGCAGCGGCGCTGCCTGTGACTAAAGTGACCGGCCCGACGTCACCCTGCAGAGGTGGGCGCGCCCGGGAGGGGAGCAGAGCACGTTCCTGCTGCACGTTACTTCCCTCGCGGGCGCTCAGGGGCAGCTTGGAAGAGCCCTGTCGGCCTCCCGACTGGGCTCCAGCAGCCCGGCACCCTCGCCCGCCCACGCCTGCCACCGACCTTTACGGGCAAACCCAGCTGCGGGTGCGCTCGGCGGCCCCAGGCCCGCGGGGCAGGAATGCGTGCTCGGTGAGGAGCAGCCCCTGCGGAAAGGACTCCGCTTTTCTCACCCGGGGGGTGGCTGGTCTCTCCCCAGCCCAGGGCTCCGAGGAACAGCAGGTGGCCCTGGGCCTCCAGCTCCTGGGAGCGACTCAGTGGTGAAAGTGACCCCGCGGCCGCAGCCCCTCCTGCGGGTGGGTCTCCCCAAAGTGAGTCCCCACAGCCTCTCCCCACGTCTGCTCTGGGGAGGGGGCATGCCCCGGCCCCGCGATGGCAGCAGAGGAGGCGCTGGTCTTCCAGGGGAAGTGTCTGCCGGTGAGGACGGCAGGAGGCAGGAGGCAGGAGGCAGGAGCAGGAGGCAGAGGCAGGAGGCAGGAGGCAGGGGCAGGAGGCAGGGGCAGGGGCAGGAGGCAGGGGCAGGAGGCAGGGGCAGGAGGCAGGGGCAGGGGCAGGAGGCAGGGGCAGGGGCAGGAGGCAGGGGCAGGAGGCAGGGGCAGGAGGCAGGGCAGGAGGCAGGGCAGGAGGCAGAGGCAGGAGGCAGGGGCAGGAGGCAGGGGCAGGAGGCAGGGGCAGGAGGCAGGGGCAGGGGCAGGAGGCAGGAGGCAGGAGGCAGGGGCAGGAGGCAGGGGCAGGAGGCAGGGGCAGGAGCAGGAGGCAGGGGCAGGGGCAGGAGGCAGGGGCAGGAGGCAGGGGCAGGGCAGGAGGCAGGGGCAGGAGGCAGAGGCAGGAGCAGGAGGCAGGGCAGGAGGCAGGAGGGCAGGGCAGGAGGCAGGGGCAGGGGCAGGAGGCAGGGGCAGGAGGCAGGGGCAGGAGGCAGGGGCAGGGCAGGAGGCAGGGGCAGGAGGCAGGGGCAGGGCAGGAGCAGGGGCAGGGGCAGGAGGCAGGGGCAGGAGGCAGGAGCAGGAGGCAGGGGCAGGGGCAGGAGGCAGGAGGCGAGGCAGGAGCAGGAGGCAGGGGCAGGGCAGGGGCAGGAGGCAGGGGCAGGGGCAGGAGCAGGGCAGGGGCAGGAGGCAGGAGGCAGGAGGCAGGGCAGGGGCAGGGGCAGGGCAGGGCAGGGGCAGGAGGCAGGGGCAGAGGCAGGGGCAGGAGGCAGGGCAGGGGCAGGGGCAGGGGCAGGAGGCAGGGCAGGGCAGGGGCAGGAGGCAGGGGCAGGGCAGGGGCAGGGGCAGGAGGCAGGGGCAGGGGCAGGGGCAGGAGGCAGAGGCAGGGGCAGGAGGCAGGGGCAGGGCAGGGGCAGGAGGCAGAGGCAGGGGCAGGAGGCAGGGGCAGGGCAGGGGCAGGGGCAGGAGGCAGGGCAGGGGCAGGGCAGGAGGCAGGGGCAGGGGCAGGGGCAGGGGCAGGAGGCAGAGGGGCAGGGCAGGGGCAGGGGCAGGAGGCAGGGGCAGGAGGCAGGGGCAGGAGGCAGGGGCAGGGGCAGGGGCAGGGGCAGCTCCGCGGCCGGCGGTGACAGGCGGGCCCAGGTGAGCGGGCAGCAGCCCCCGCGGGGACCCGGCGATGACTCACGGCTCCGAGGCCGCAGAAGGGCCGGGACTCCCCGCAGCCCCTGGGCGGAGGCGGCGGCCCCCGCGCGCCCACATCGGGGCGAGAGTCCAGCCCGGCGCCCCCGCCCGAGGGAGCCGTCGCGGGCGGTCGTGGCTCGGGCGCCCCGGGGCGGCGGGGCGGGCGGGGCGGGAGGCGGACGGCGCAGCTCGGGCCCGCGGCAGCGGCCCCGCCCGGAGGCGGCCCGGGAGGCTCCGAGGGCGGCGGGTCCCGCGCCGGGAAGGCGGGTGCCGCGCGGGGCGGCGGGAACCGCGGGCGCAGCTGGGCCCTCGGAGCCGCCGAGCCCGCACGGGCGGACGGACGGACGGACGGCACCGGGAGGCGCGCGCCTGGGGAGGCGCTCGCGGGGCTCCTCGGGGCCGCGGGGCCCGGGCGCCCGGGCAGGGGAGCCGCGGCCCGGGGCGGGGACCCCAGGGGACCCGGGCAGGCGCCCGACCCCGCCGCACGACCGGCCTCGCGCCCGCGGGGCGACACTCACCTCGGCCATCCTGCGGCCGCTGCGGCGCGGGGCGTCCGGCCTCGTCCCGGCCCCGCCGCCCGCGTCCGCCCCGGCTCGGCCCGCGCCGCGGCTCCACGCTCCGGCCGTCGGGGCCCGCGCGGCGCAGGGGGCGGTACCTCGGCCCCGCCCCCGGCCCCGCCCTCCCGGCCCCGCCCTCCGGCCCCGCCGCTCCCGGCCCCGCCCGCCCCTCCCGGCCCCGCCCGCCTCGCCCGGCCCCGCCCCGCCCCGCCGCAGTGGGCCCCGCCCCGCCGGGCGGCCCCGCCCCCTGCCCGCCGCGTTCCGTCCGGTCGGCCCCGCCCTCCGCAGGTGTGCGCCCCGCCCTGCAGGCCCCCGCCCTGCCCCCCGCGTTCCGCCCGGCCGGCCCCGCCCCTCCGCAGGTGGGCCCCGCCCCGCCCGGCAGGCCCGCCCCCGCCCGCCCCCGCCGCCGCGAGGCCCGCCCCCGCCGGCCGCCCGGGCCGCCGACCGCAGCCGCGCGCGGGGGAGGCGCCGCGGGCCTGACGGCGCTTGTCGCGGGGACGGACGTGCCCGGCTCTGCCGCCCGGGACTGGCGAACCGCCCCGAGCGCTCCGGCCCCGCGCGGGTGACTCGCCGCCCGCCGACCCCGGGGCCCCGCGGCACGGGGTCGCCGCGGCCGGGCCCGCGCTGCCCCGACGGGCCGGGCTCCCTCCAGCCGCGGAGCGGGGCCGCCCCCGCCCCCGCTGCTGGGTTTGTGGCCGCAGAGCCAAGCAGGCGGGCCCGAGAGGATCGCTGCCAGCCGAGTGTCACTGAAATAAATGCAATTGCAACAAACAGACACTGGCCCAGACCTTCCGCTGCTTGGACCACGGGTTCTCGTGTGCCCTGGAGGGGCGCCGGCCGGGGAGATGCGGTGTGAGGCCGGGGGAGGCGAGGCCCGCGGGCCGCGTCTGGCGCTGGACCCGGGACCGGCCGGGGCGGGAGGACCCGCGGGCTCGGGCGGGGAACGGGGTCTCGGGCCGCCTGCCCGGGGGGCCTGCCCGGCCTGGGGCCCGGGGCGCCCGCGGGGTGGGCCGGGAGCGTCTCCACAGCCTCGTCACGGGGCTCTCTGCGGCTCCAACCCCGACGTCACCTCGTTCTCCCGCCCCCCGCAGCACCCCGAGCGCCGGGAGGTCCTTGTGCGCCTCTGCCCCGCGCCCCCAAGGCAGGGCGTCCTCCCGGGTCCCCCGCGACGCTGCTTCTCAGCAGCTGCCCCGACGGCCCCACGGCCCCCACCGCCGCCTCAGCTCGGCCCGACGCCTGGATCCGCCTTTCGCCTTCCTAGCCGGGCGCGGGGCCTTGTCTGAGCTCCCCGGCCGTGCTGTCCCCGCTCGGTGCCAGGCGGGCTGCCGGTGGGCGAGAGCAGCCGGGTGTCGGCTCTCCTGGCCTCGCCGCCCCCCACAGAAGCAGGCCCCTGCCCTGCCCTGGCCGCAGCGGCTGCGTAAGGGCGGCCCTGTCTGCAAACACTGCCTCTGCCTCACCTCCTTCCCCTCGGGGCACCAAAGACTGCTCCGGGGGTTCCTTCAGGTCTGTCCCCAGAGCACACCGTGGCAGCGGGATTCATGAAGGGTCATACTGGCATCTTACAAATGCCCCAAGATGTGCCGAAGCCGCAGGCAGGGGCACACGAGTACCCGTGGTTCATGCAGCGGAAGGTCTGGGCCAGTGTCTGTTTGTTGCAATTGCATTTATTTCAGTGACACTCGGCTGGCAGCGATCCTCTCAGGCCCGCCCGCTTAGCTCTGCGGGCACAAACACAGCAGCACTTGGGGGCTTTGGGGATACACACTTTGAAAACACAGAAAGAGTCCCCCGGCAGGCGTGGGGTGGACGGCCATCCTCCCTCTGATGGGGCCGTTTGCCTGGCCTCTGTGGGTCAGGACAGGACCTGGATTTACCCGCTGCAGGCCCACTCGCTCTGGGGCCCGGCGTGCCGTGCAGCCTCGGAAACCGGCCTCCGAGGGCCTCCTCCCTTCTCGGAAACACGGAAACGGGACAGAGTCCCCCACAGAGGGAGGTGCGCGTCCATGGGGCGCCCACCCCAGCGCCGTCTGCTCCTGGCAGCTCAGCCCGTGGGCCTGGCAGACTCTCATCGGGCCTTGGTGTCCGGGTAGCACGGGGCGCACCCAGAGGCCCCTGCCCCCGCCTCACATTGGCTTCTGCGCTCAGCCTTGCCGCTGTCCTTTTGCGTCAAGTCCTCCTCTAGCAAGCTCTAAAAACACAATGTCTTCTCTGCCTGCGCACGGTATTAAAAAATATATATTAAAACGAGGCAAAGTTGTAAAGACACAAAATAAGAAAATCCCTGTGGCCTGTCCTCGTGGAGGCCAAAAGCTGGTCTGAGCTGAGGCCCAGCTGTCCTGTCCCCGCACGAGGCCTTGGGCCAGGGTGGGGTGTGCATGTGGGGTGGTGGTGGTGGGGGGTGATGTGGGGGTATGTCCCAGAAACAGGCCAGCGATGGGCCTCCCCGGTCAAGGCAGGTAGTGTGACAGGCGGTGCTGTCTGAAGTGGGCAGCTGCCTCTCGCTTGTCAGCAGCTGGGGTGTGGGCTTGATTTTGTCGCGTGTCCTGAGTTTTCAAGAGCAGTGGGAAATATTCGGATATTTCAGAGTTGGCAACGGACTCACAATCTTGATGGATCGATATGGGGTGACTCAAACAAAATATGCTTGTGGACCGAGTCTGGCTTGGGCTGTCCTCACATCCTGTGCTCACGAGGCCGCTCCCAGCACACAGTAGGTGTGCACTGAGTTACAGCGAGACTGTCCCCGCAGGACCTGGGCTCCAGGCTGCCCCGGCCTTGCCTGGGTTCGCGTTGCCTGGGTTCGCGAGCGACGCCTCCAGGACGCCCTCTCCGCGGTCTGCTGTGAGCTATGGAATCGCTTCTCCTCCACAAACCGCTCTTCTGAGAATTTTTTCCCCAGTGGGGACAGGTCAGCTTGTGATTTTTGTCTTCACTAAACAAAGGGATTAGCAGTCATGGGGTCATTGTATTAAAAAGAAAAATCCCTTTTTGCTAGAGGTCACACATGGGGCAGACCAGATTGGGGGGGATGCATACGCACTCCCCTGCCCCCACCCCCGCCAGCCCACCAGTCCAAGGAGCAGCTGGCCGGGCCTGGTGGCAGAGGACGCGAGCGGCCCGGGCAGGCAGGAGGAGGCTGACCACGGGCAGGTGGGCAGAGAGCGGCCGGGCCCGGTGAGGTGGCCTCGCCTCAGTTCTCCACATTCCTCTGAGGACAGTGCTGGGAACTCCGGCGGGCAGTCACTTAGCACTGTCACCTCCGGCCCAGACGGCGCTGCAGGCCTGGGCACGTCTGCGGCTCAGCTCAGCACTGGGGCCTGACTAAGCAGCCTGTGGGCCAAGCCGCCACCCCCTCCTGCTGCCTGCTGGGGGGGGGCAGCCAGCCACAGACCCAGCTCCCGCCCAGGGCTCGAGCTTCTCCCCCACCCAGGGCGCTCCCTGCAGAGAGCTCAGGGAGGGGATGCCCCCCCCCCCCGGGGGTGGCCTAGGGCGCAGGCAGCTGCTCCTCTTCCCCCCCACAGGTGGGGTCCCGGCCCAGCGCCTGCAGCCCCTGCCCCACAAAGAGGGAGTGAGCTGCATTCTCCTGGGGGGTCTGGAAGCCAAGATGTCAGGTCTCGGGGAGGAGGAGGGAGAGCTGTCAGGGGAAGAGTGTGGGTGCAGTCGTAAATGCCAGACTGAGAACCGACCTGGCCTGCTCCCAGGCGGGCGCCTGGAGGCCCCCTCTGGGGGGCTGAGGCCATTCAGATGTGGCCGTGTATTGACACCTCCGGGGTGCACGCAGTTGCCTCTCGCTCCCTCGCCCTCCTTGACTGTCACACAATCCAGGGGTGGCCGGCGTCTTCCAGACAGCTCTGGCCTCGCGGGGCGCTGGGAGGACGCCGCGGTGGGCTCCTCTGGACGCTTTGCTCGGCAGGAGAATTACACCTCTGGCCCTGGGCTCGCTCTTCCTAATTAAAGTGCAGGAGCGCTTAGTTGCTGTAAACCCCGCAGACTGGCACTTTGCCCGTGGAGTCGGTGCCTTTGGGTGGGTTTATGGGGGTACGGCAGGCCTGGCCGTGAGGGGCTGCAGACAGAAGGAGAATGAAGGCTCATGATCCCTTGAAATGTGCTATCTTCTGCAGATTTCACGACCCGTAATCCAAGGCAGAGGAGGAAATGTCTGGGGTGTCCTGAGAGTCCCCAATCAAAAGGCACTGCTTCGGGAGCGGGGAGGGGCTATGGGCGCCACGGGACCCCATTCTCAGCGACTCGGTGGCATCAGACTTTAAAGTGACCTCTCAGGGGAGTCGCTAAATTCTTAAGGGAATGAGAGCTATGAAAAAATAAACGAGTTTATCATTTTTAAAAAATTATGCTTGTGGAGGTCGCGGTTTACAACACCGTGTGTGTTTCATAAGTACAGGTTTAACCTCTACAAATGCATGTTATCAATAAAAAGTAACTCCAGGTTACCCATTTTGTTATGTGTCAGAATAAGTAAGCATCTTTACATGTCTGATTTAGCAAACCTGGAGGAAATAGATTCCTTCTTAGAGAGTTAATCTCTGACATTGCAGAGACGTTTGCTCGCGAACAGAGCCTCGGGAGACTTAAGGAAGGACGCGGCCATCTTCAAATTGGTATCTTATTGACACCTAACATTATTTTCAGATATGCAATTAATGTTTGCATAGTGTGCAAAAGGATCACCCCATAAGTCTAATTGCAGCTATTCCCGTACATAGTAACAATTTTGTTTTGTGAAGAGATTTACTGTCTTAGGAACTTTTCAGCGGGCCAGGCAGCAGTGTTAGCTAGAGTCACCAACTGCACCTACATCCTCACATCCCTGACTGACTTACCTTATAAATGGAAGTTTCTGGCTCCTCCTGTGAACCACCAGTCCGTTTCCTGAGTTTGTTTTTTTTAAGTCCCACCTCTAAGTGAGCTCACACAGAGTCTGTCATCCTCTCATTGACTAGTTTTACTTACTCTGATGCTCTCAGGGGCCATACA